TACGTTTAGTCAGAATAAAATTTTTTAAATTGAGGAACAATTCAATATTTGGAGGATTGATTAATTTCGATAATTCCATTGGTTCTCGAAAGTATTTTAAGGAGAGCTTTATTTATAACACGACAGGGTGACTCATCCGAGACGTGGATAAATCAAAGCTATAACGCGTCTGATACTCCCCTCCTTTGTGTACCGGCTGCCAACGAAAGTAGACGTCGACTGCACGCGATGTAGCCGAGGCTTGTCCTTTCTTTTTTTAATCGCATGTCCTGCTGCTCGTTTTCGCGGTTATCTACGCCGGAGAACCGACCCAATTCCGGTTTCGAGTAGGCCAGCCGACCGCACCGGCAGACCGGAATCGCAACGGAAAAATAGGAAAAAATTCCCAAGAATGCATAGAATAAAAAAAGAAATATGTTCACTGGAGACGGAATATCTATATAATTCCTCGATCACAAGGAGATAAACCTTCTTCTGATCCTTCGCGTTCTAATAACCATAAATAATATACTTATGCAAATTTTATTAAATATATTTCAATAAATTACAAACACGAAGAAAACGTTTAAATATTATAAATCCTACTTCACTTTGGATTTTATGTACACGATTATTTAAAAATCATTTAAATAGACGCTTATGTAAATTCGTATTTTTATAAATACAATTATATATGCAGGTGCTGTAAATTATATTTTACTTTGCATAGACTGCAAATCTTCATGCGAAATAAAATGTTTATGGCGATCAATTAAAGGGATTGCAGATTAAAATTTTATCTTCTGCAATTATTTAATTGCCAACCCAATAGTTTTTATTTTCTGCGTGTAAAAGTTTTTTATAATTACGCGTGATTATTTAAACATTCCCAGCCGCTGGGAATTATTTACAGTTAGAAAGGATAACTGAAATTGACGATCTCGAAGGATGGAAGGAGCGAGAGGTTTGTGGGTCGAGGGTAGAAAAATGCGAATATCCGGGCCCGTAGTTCGGGAAGCTGCTCGTAAAACGGAAACGTTCGCGGCCGTTTCACTGGTCGAGCCAGCAACGGATTTCATGGTGCGACGATGAACAAGAAACGAGAAGAATCGACGGGTTTCTGTGTCAGGAAAGCGCAAAAATCTTAGAACGACCGAGACTCCCTCCTTGAACTCCGTTCAATCGGTGATTTATCGAGCATGAACGACGTCGTGCTCCTGTTACTTTTTCCGCGTGTCCTTAATCGATGGATCCACTGCGTCTACGAAATTCGCGGCAACATCGTCTGTGATATCATCAAGGAAAATCTGAATACGAGCGAAACGGCTGACTGATGTGAATTTAATATCCACGCTCTGTCGATTAGACCGTGGATTTTAATGCAAAGTTGAACGTGTATCGATGCATAAAATCTGACGGTAATTGTACGATTCAAGAAAATGATGAATACGATCGAGAACGTGTCGGAATGGAAGGATTTTTCATTGCCTCGTCGAGAGAATGAGCTGGCATTCCGAATCGTAACCAGAAAAAGCAGCGTGCAAACGAGCCGCTGATTGTCCACGCCGGTGGCAATTAGCGCGTGACGAGACCTGGACTTCTTCAGGTTCGTCTACGCCTCGAAACTTCTTCCGGGCGTTCTGACAAAAATCGTCACGCTGACTTTTTGCAAATTAAAATATTTGGAAAGGACACGTGTCTATAATTCAGAGAAAATTCTGAATTATTAGAAGCATTCGAATAATAGTTTATTTATTGCTGTTGGAAGAAGCGACGAGCCTCTGTGAAGGCGGCTCGGCACGAGGAACAATAGAAAAACTAAGAGTAGCACGAGATCAAGATCTGTGTCAATCTGCTGGCCGAATCCTCGCGGCTGATCCCAGCTGACAATTATCACCGGTCGGGGAACAGAAATAGAGGAGCGAAGCCGCGGGGGCCGCCCCGTTCTCCAAGAGTACGCGGCAACGGTAGACGCGTTGCATCGCCGTGGAGCGAGACGCAAAATGGACCAGGTCCCCAGGAAGTGGGGACCTGGATTAAAAGCAAACGAGGGCAACGTCTCGGCGACAGAGCTATCTCGGACCTTGAACAGAGTGGAGGTCGTCGCGCGTTTCAGCTATTCTCTCGGTTCACGTTGCTCGGTACTCGCGGTTTCCTAACGGGTTCCTGGCTGCCCTTGGTTCCAGCTCATCCTACCGTCGCTGGTTGGCTCACGATCGAAAGTCGACGCCAGGCCAAGGGAAGCTGGACGAAGATCCACGGTCAGTGTATCGACGTGCCTCGCTTTTAATTATTATCTCGCTTGGGGCCAGTGATTCATGCGATTTGTGCAATACGATCGAAT